AATGTATGATGACTGAATGTATGATGAGTGAATGTATGATGAGTAAATGTATGCTTGTGGTAATACTGCTGATTCAGCACCTATCTCTCCATAGGGGACACAGCTGATGAGTGAATGTATGATGACTGAATGTATGATGACTGAATGTATGATGAGTGAATGTATGATGAGTAAATGTATGATGAGTGAATGTATGATGACTGAATGTATGATGAGTGAATGTATGCTTGTGGTAATACTGCTGATTCAGCACCCATCTCTCCATAGGGGACACAGCTGATGAGTGAATGTATGATGACTGAATGTATGATGAGTGAATGTATGATGAGTAAATGTATGATGAGTGAATGTATGATGACTGAATGTATGATGAGTGAATGTATGATGAGTGAATGTATGATGACTGAATGTATGATGAGTGAATGTATGATGACTGAATGTATGCTTGTGGTAATACTGCTGATTCAGCACCTATCTCTCCATAGGGGACACATCTGATGAGTGAATGTATGCTTGCACACATCTCACATATGGCATATACCACACAGACATCCTTGGAGTAGCATAATATTTGTATTACTAAGTAGTGTAAGTATCACACACAGACATCCCTGGAGTGGTATAATACTTGTATTACACAGCAGTGCATATGACATCACACAAACATCCTCGGAGCGGTATAATAACGCAGTGTATATAGACAATACAGACAAGATGCAGAAGGTGGTTATCTGTAGCAATATGTAGCATTTAGTCTCCAGTAGTTAAGCACAGCAGACCACTGCTCTCATAGATCTTATACGGTTTAGACACAATAATGCATACTGCAGACAGAACAAGAGATCAATATAGAAGTGGCGAAGGGAACAAAGCAAATAGCTGCCACAGGAAAAAGCTCATATAATGAGATCACTGCCTAAGGCATAACTTTTGCAGAGTCTCAAAACCTAGCTTACATAGCCTCCACTTCCCGTCTTGACCCCTCCCTGTTATTGTCTGGTAACTACACAGTGATTAATGGCTTTCCTGCTTGGGTATATCTGCCCCTAACATTGCCTATTGCCACTGAATTCCCCAACCCCTTGTGTAAGGATGCTGGTATGCTGATGCCGTACCTCCCTCAGGTGACGGCGGGTGTTTGGAGATGCCCTCCGACGTGGGGGAGGTGTTGATGAGGGGGTGCACGCCAGGCAGGGGTTTGTCGTAGTGCGAGTCCGGCTCCGTGTCAACGGTCTTCACAGTGTGGCCGGGGATGTCGTACCTTAGCTCCGCATAGGACACTCCTGAAACACAGGCTACATCTTAGACACTGCCACCCTTCCCTCTAAACACTTACTACACCTGCACCCAGAAGCCGAACTTGAGTTAACATTCCGCTGCTACACAGTGGGATCCTCTGGAGCCACAAGGGGTTGAGTTTAGGGGTTAGAGGTTCGTGGACACCATGTGAGGAGATATTCTCAAGCTAAACATTAGTGTGATGTTACTTTCTGTACACTGACTTTTACCAGACACAAGACATAAACTAGGCTCTCCACAAGGGAACGTTCCCATCTAATGTGCGAGAGTGGGGTGTATGAGAGGGTGGAATATGAGAGTGGGGCGTTGGAGCGAGTGGAATATGAGAGAGTGGGGCGTGGGAGAGAGTGGGTGAGTGAGTGAGTGGGTAAGTGAGTGAGTGGTAGCTAGCAGCAGCCAAGTGTTCAGGTGTGTGTGAGGACAGCTGTATCTAACCTTGGTCCTTCTCTGCGGGCGTCACGTTGATGACCGTCCTCTGGGGTACTGTCGGCCGCTGGAGGCGTGGCGTGTCTTCGTCGTCTGCTGGCGGGGTGGGTGGAAGCTGACGTCTGTCAACACAACACAACACAACACATCTCGTCACTCAGCAAACACAGAAAACCTCACACATAATGGAGAAACTTTCGAATACTGACAGTAGTGCTTAATGTTTGTTTGTGTGCTGTCAGCCATGAACACTGGGCCAGACAAACCAGTGATTAACACAAAGACTAACATCCCATGTAGTCAGAGTATGACACAGCAAGTCTGTTTGTCTGTTGCTTAATGCCACACTCAGCGCTATTCAAGCAATATGACGGCAGTCTGAAATATTTGTTTGTTTGTTTGTTGTTTAACGCCGCACTCAGCAGTATTCCAGCTATATGAAGGCGGTCTGTAAAAAAAATCGAGTCTGGACCAGACAATCCAGTGATTGACATCATGAGCATCGATATAAGCAATTGGGATCACTCACTCACTCACTCACTCACTCACTCACTCACTCAGTACACCAGTGTTGGGTACCTGCGACATAATAACGCTTCGTTCAGTTTAGCAATTGTTTGATGCGTCCATATAATCACCATGGCTGGGCGGGTGCGCTTCGCGAGACGAGTATGAACGTTATCAGCCAGGCGAACCACAGCAGGGTCCCTTTTCACAAAGCGATCGTAGGGCTACGACTACCGTAACTCCTATACTTTAAGATAGACTTACGACCGTCTTAGCGCTACGATCTCTTTGTGAAACGGGCCCGCAATGCAGACTGGACGCCAATCCGACACGAAACACATGTACGGATTCGGACCTCTTCTGATCACATAGCCAACAAACAAATACTAAGTTTTAATTAGCCAAGTCATTCATTATGCGATGCATACATATGTATTTGGTAATTCCCTGAAGGTATCCCTAACCAGTAAACAGGCAAATAACATTGTCTAACGTGGAGCTGATCAGGATGATATATTAAATTTGTACTTTCATTGATTGAAATGTATTTATTTCGATTCAGGTTTAAACACGTTGCAAAGCACAGATCCGGATGACAGACACAGCGGTTTTCTGGAGCGTTTCGATATAGAGTTCACGCCCTTGTCAAGCTGAATGACTGTAAGAATGAACATGGATACATCCCTGGATGCGAAAGTAAACACAGAAGTGCTTATCCACTGAAGTTTTCTTATTTACTCACCAACTTGTTGAATGCCAATAAAACAGTTTTGTCTTACTCTATTTTGTACATTTTTATTTTTAGTTCTTGATTTTTTTGTTCATCATAAGTAAGAGCTTGTGTTTGAGTAATGAATACGCCCGGAATTCTTTCTTGTGAAAGCTTAACACCAAAAGTTTGAATATATGTATTTTGATATGATGGTAATGATCGCACAACACAGCCAGATGTTATGTTATTACCTATATGACTTATATATGAAATACATGAGCGAAAAAAAATGATTGTCATAGTATAGTCAACCAGTGTGAAGACCAATACCATGTAGTGCAGGTGAAATATTATTTGAATGCCTTCACACGGGCACTGACGAAGATTGTACAGGGTTATACTATACCTTTGTTTAAGCTGTGCCCTTAATACGAAACGACTGCATCAGCATGCGGAAGCTGTTGTTGTTGTCGTGGTTGTGATTGACTGCCAGACATGAGGCCGGATGACTCGGGGCACATGCGGTTGTATGTTTGGTTATGCCTAAAATTGTCTGCCCTTTGACCGTTTGGCTTGGAGTGAGTTGCCCCTTTCGGCCTTGCTCGGGGGGTGGGGAAAGGTGGTCGGTGGAGCAGCGCATACTGCGTACCAAATTAGTTGACAACGTTGCGGAAGTAGTTCCTGGATGAATACTACACATCGTATAATACTTGGAGTTTTGTAAATACGCAACAAAAGCCTAAACCACAAAGACAGACGCGACGGATAAAATGGAAAACCAAAAGAACAAAGCTTTTCGTTGATTATGAATAATATTTCTGGAATATTGTATGTTATATTTATATAAATTCTACCATTTCTCAGCGCACTATTTAAACTTTAAATTAAAAATTCCTTTTACTATAAGTTATAACCAATGATGGATGCATGTCGATGAATCTCATATGCACGACAGTTCATTTGGTAAAGCTTGGATGGTGTCGTCCGCTGTCCGTTGTCCGTCGTCTGTACGTCAACAATTGATTCCATCGACTTCTTCCTCTGAACCACTTATTGGAAATAAACGAAATGTGACTGAAAGCATAACATGGCGGGAATTAAAAAATTACAAATGGAGGGGCTGACACTATCCCCCCCACCACCACACACAGGGGGGCTGAGGGGCAGGGCCACATAGGGGTATTTGGATATATTGATTTTAGGGACTTCTTCTCTAGAACTAAGAGATAGATATCAACCATATATTGTTGGAAGCATACTCCGATGGGGAGAATTCAAATTGTACAGTGGTTGATCGCCTCGGCGCCCCCCCCCCCCCCCCCTGCCACCCCGATCCCTCCCTCCCTTTACAATGGTGTAGGAGTAATGGCCCATACACCAAGTACGGATCGAGTGATCAGATGAACTGAATGACCCTTCTCAAAAACAATTTCTTAAAACATCAATAGTCTTTACATATACGTCTCTTCACGCACATCTTGATAGCACAGAGGGAACGTTGCTGCGCTGACGATGACAAGGTTTCACGTTCCAAACGCATAGGAGTTGATAATCATTTTTTCACGTGCAAACCTTATAGAATAAAGTTCACTTCAAACACCCCGTGAGAGGAAAGTGTGACAATGTGTCAATGAGGTTTGTACCGCCCATCAATCACATTGTTGTAATGATGCTTGGCTGAAATGGCAGTACTATTGCGTAGTCCTGTATAGATTTCTGGAGCAAGATGGCTTTACTATTGGTGTAAAAAAGGTATTATAAATACCACAGGATTGGATATGGCTCATATCTACCATTTAGGTTTGTTTCGTGCCGTGCCGGCTGGGCTGGGCTGGGCTGGGCTGGGCTGGGCTTCAAGTTTGTATTAACAATATGTGCCGTGAAAACAGCTGGCCAGGTCAATAGGAAAGAACCAACTAATGCGGCAGAAAAATAGTTGAAACATAGATATCTGAAATATAGCTAAAGTTTAATACTGTGGCTCCAAGTCTGATCCAAAGTATGAGGTGTAGCAGCCAACGAATGTTCATTGCCTTTAACGTTCTCTGATCATGTCTTACTTAAGTTTAACGCCACCGTAAAACATTCATTCAGCAACGCATGTATATATTTACAAAAGATAATTACAAGCAAGGAATCGAACTCCCCATCACAGTTTCAAATAGCGCGACTCGCTGCCGTATGCGCAAAACACATCTCTGTCAATGGGTGTGTCAGTTTCCCTGTCATACCTTCACATTTTGGGAGGTACGCGAAAGGAATCAGGCATGCACGTGTTCATTTGGTTATGCGCGGGAGTATACAAATTGTGGTTCCAGGACAATATGTTTCCAGAGTATATTTGTTTGCCAAAATAATCTAATAATTGACAAGAAGTGCAATTAATATGTCTATATTATAAAGGTGTGAATGTAAGGGGGAAATGTTAGGTCTGACCAGCTTATTAGTAGGTAATTGCCTTGCAGTCAAGTCAACAACAAATATAATTGCTTTTATTTCTTAATAGTCCAGGCCCTTAAGGGGATAGCTCGCGTTGTGTCTACAAGCACCAAATTTCGCACAGGTGTAGACCAGAACATACTAAATTCACCTTTGGAGGGCAAATAGCATTGAACATGATACAAAACATCACCAGCATGGGCATCTGCAGCTGGTGCAATAGATTTACCCTTCAACTGGAAGTTATCATTAGACTTTGCCCAGCTTTTTAGATGTGCATCTACGGTGTCAGTTGCCACCTTCCGTATATTGGTCTGGTCATCTCCATCACAGATAATGCAGCATTTAACATTACTGCCTTTTCCATAGGATGCCCCCGCTGATCTGAATTTTTGGGGTGGACTCTGTGTTCATGTTTTTGACGCAGCCTCTTCTTACGAGAACTACTACAGTAGCTCCTACATGATTTTTGATACTTAGCATTATAGGATCTGAGTGTTGCAACAATACCTGATCCATTTTTTACTTGGTCAAAGAAGACTGAAATATCCAACTGAACGGCATTGATTTCCTTAAAGTCAGTCAGGTTTCTGCCAAGAGTGCAAAGTCCTTCTGCCTTTGGTGTTTGCAACTCTTCACTTTTATCTGACTGGCAAACACAGCAAAGTCCCCTACAGAGATGGAAATATAGGAATACATTCACTGGACAAGTAGCCATATACGACACCTACGTGTGATTAATGCACAATTAGTCATGACCACCTATATCAGCGTTTCTTGAAGAAGTAAAAATACATGCAAGGAACAATTCATGTGACCTTTATGTGTTCAGTAATATAAACCATCAACCACCAGCAGTGCATTATACTCATTTGCAGACCAGAAAATAACATTATTATGTGACATCCAAATTAAACCTGAACCTTAAGTATGCCCCTGGAAAACCTCTGGACAAAGCGTATTTTGTATGTCAACACAAAGCTCAAAAACCTATGAAAAGAGCCTTCATTCATGATTCTATGACTTTTGGTTATTTAAATAGGACAGGATCCAATAGGGATTGGCGGCCATCATGGATTTTACTAATATGGCGGCCCCATTGATCACCGGCTTTGGCGCCCTCCAAAAATGAAGTTCTGGTCTACACCTGTCTACACCTACAGATGTCCTGGTTCCCTAACCCTAAGTCTGTTAAAGGGGAGCCCTACCGATGTCCTGGTTACCTTACCCTAAGACTGTTAAAGGGGAGCCTTACCCTTATCCTGATTCCCTAACTCTAAGACTGTTAAAGGGGAGCCCTACCCATGTCCTGGTTACCTAACCCTAAGACTGTTAAAGGGGAGCCCTACCCATGTCCTGATTCCCTAACCCTAAGACTGTTAAAGGGGAGCCCTACCCTTGTCCTGATTCCCTAACCCTAAGACTGTTAAAGGGGAGCACTACCCATGTCCTGATTCCCTAACCGACTGCTAAAAGGGAGCCCTACCTTTGCCCTGATTCCCTAACCCTAAGACTGTTAAAGGGGAGCCCTACCCTTGCCCTGATTCCCTAACCGACTGCTAAAAGGGAGCCCTACCTTTGCCCTGATTCCCTAACCCTAAGTCTGTTAAAGGGGAGCCCTACCGATGTCCTGGTTACCTTACCCTAAGACTGTTAAAGGGGAGCCTTACCCTTATCCTGATTCCCTAACTCTAAGACTGTTAAAGGGGAGCCCTACCCATGTCCTGGTTACCTAACCCTAAGACTGTTAAAGGGGAGCCCTACCCATGTCCTGATTCCCTAACCCTAAGACTGTTAAAGGGGAGCCCTACCTATGTCCTGATTCCCTAACCCTAAGACTGTTAAAGGGGGCCCTACCCATGTCCTGATTCCCTAACCCTAAGACTGTTAAAGGGGAGCCCTACCCATGTCCTGAATTCCCTAACCCTTAGACTGCGAAAGGGGAGCCCTACCCTTGCCCTGATTCCCTAACCCTAAGACTGTTAAAGGGGAGCCTTACCCTTATCCTGATTCCCTAGCCCCTAAGCATGTTAAAGGGGAGCCCTACCTAATCTTAAGACTGTTAAAGGGGAGCCCTACAGATGTCCTGGTTCCCTAACCCTAAGCATGTTAAAGGGGAGCCCTACCCATGTCCTGATTCCCTAACCCTAAGACTGTTAAAGGGGAGCCCTACCTATGTCCTGATTCCCTAACCCTAAGACTGTTAAAGGGGGCCCTACCCATATCCTGATTCCCTAACCCTAAGACTGTTAAAGGGGAGCCCTACCCATGTCCTGATTCCCTAACCCTTAGACTGCGAAAGGGGAGCCCTACCCTTGCCCTGATTCCCTAACCCTATGACTGTTAAAGGGGAGCCCTACCCATGTCCTGATTCCCTAACCCTAAGACTGTTAAAAGGGAGCCCTACCCATGTCCTGATTTCCTAACCCTAAGACTGTTAAAGGGGAGCCCTACCCATGTCCTGATTCCCTAACCCTTAGACTGCGAAAGGGGAGCCCTACCCTTGCCCTGATTCCCTAACCCTAAGACTGTTAAAAGGGAGTTCTACCCTTGCCCTGATTCCCTAACCCTATGACTGTTAAAGGGGAGCCCTACCCATGTCCTGATTCCCTAACCCTAAGACTGTTAAAAGGGAGCCCTACCCTTGCCCTGATTCCCTAACCCTATGACTGTTAAAGGGGAGCCCTACCAATGTACTGGTTACCTAACCTAAGACTCTAGAAGGGGCATTGTACCTATGCTTTGGTTCCCTTATCTGAAGACTCTAATATGGAAGCCAGCCCTTTCCTTACCCTAAGACACTTGAAGGGGTGCTATACCCTTGTTCAGGCTCCCAAACCCCAAGACACTTACAGGAGAGCTATATTCTTGCTCAGGTTCCCTAACCCTAAGACACTTAAAGGGGTTCACTAACTTTACTCAGGTTTCTAACCCTAATTCATTTAAAGGGGTTCCCTCGCCATAAACTAGTTCCCTGCCCTTGAGACTCTTGACCCTTGAGCCCTTGCCCTGGTAACCTAACCCTAAGAAACTTAAAGGGGTGCTCTACCCTTGCTCAGGTTCCCTAACCCTAAGACACTTAATGGGGTTCACTGCCTTTGCTCAGGTTCCTAACC